AGCCCGGCCCCGGGAGGGTGCCTGCTCCTCAGAACCCTCCTGCCCAACCTCTCTGTTGTTGCTTTCTAGCCCGCCTACCAGAATTTGAGACAGCGCGTTGACAACTTCGTTTCCAACCATTTGGCAACTCATACCTGGAGTCCTCATCTCAACAAGAACCAGCTGAGAAATAACATTAGGCAGCAGGTTCTCAAGTAAGTGACAGCTCCGGGTTTCTCTGGTTGAACATGCTCGTGTACCACGATAGGTGATGGAGGCTCTAGGTCAATTGTAAAGTGTCTCCTTTCTTCAAAGAAACTTCTGAAGAACTTTTTTCTTTTAGCATTTTAAACGTGGTATTATTTCAGGTAGCAGCTCACCATCAGCGTTAGTCAGAATTAGACTGCAAATATTATTTTGTCTGATCCAAGTTGATGCAGGCATGGAAAGCTTGTTTCTGACTTGGGATGTAATACCCTAGCTAAGGTCTATCTTTACTGTGTCTTTTAAGGGAGATATTAATAAAATTGCTCTTATCATCAAGTCTTGAGCTAAGGAAAATGGAAAGGATTTGACAAACTGCGCCCTGCGGAGTGCCAAGCTAAATTCACAAAATAAAAAGCTGTATGTAAATCTAGCTAGACAGAGAAGAGGTTTTTCAGAACTGCTGTTACATCAAAATGATGTCAAACACTTATCCGATGTTGTATTATTTCATGAGGTTTCCTCTAGTTTTTCTTCTCAAAACTTAGAGTCATAAGAAATGTTAAGAAATGTCTTCAAAGAAGCATGAATTTGCTCACTAAATTGGGTCAAGCAAGGGATTTGGGAACAAACTTATTCAGTTACGCTGTAGAGCTATCACTGACAACTTATACTGAGGAGCTGTTTTGATGGGGGGGAGGAGAACGGTTGTTGTTTGCGGGGTTTTTTAGTTCTTTTTAAAGAAGTAATGAGGACAAGAGACAATATATGTTCCACAAAAGATTACAGGGGTCTAGAGAGAACCCATAGATACAAAGCTCTCTGTTGCCATTTATTTGATTTTACTGACAATTAAGGGTGTTCTACAAAGCTGCAGAACTCTGCAGTGTCACACTGTATTGGGCAGAAAGTAACTTAGGGTGGTGATGACTGGTCTAGTAGTCATTCGTCCCTCTTGCTTTCTGTAATTCCTCTGTTTCATGCCATGGGAATTGATAACATCGTGTTTCTTCTTAATTTTTTCCACAAATGCCACTTTTACAGTTAGATAACATTTGTAGGCATAACCAGTAATGACAACAACAGGCTGTTTGTTGTGTTAATTCCATGTGTTTGGATTGCTTTGTTTCTCTTGCTTTTTTTTTCGTAGTTCATAAGGCATAGAGAGAGCTGTTGAAATACAGGCAGCTGGCTAAATACATAGCTGCAGCGATGCTTAGAAAATGTTAATGCTTCATTGGAGGTTCCTAAGAGTGTTTACGTCACATCTAAATGAGCGTATTTCATTAAGATGTTTGTGAAAAGTCATTTTTCATATTAAATATTCATGTAACTTTGTTCCAGGTCTGGAATGTTGGAATCTGGAATTGACAGAATTATTTCTCAGGTTGTGGACCCAAAGATCAACCACACATTCAGACCTCAGGTGGAAAAAGCTGTCCATGAATTTTTAGCCACACTGAATCACAAAGAGGAGGCAGGCCCCAGTACAGCTCCAAGTGAGGAGAAAACAGATGCTTCTATTACAGTACAAGGTATTCTACCATTTCTCCGAGCGGTCTATTAACAAAAATTTGTTTTTCGAGAGAGCAGAAACATTGACTAGGTTTGCTGCTAGCATAAAATTGTTAGCATCAGTATTAGCAAGCTGAGTTCCAGGCAGCGTACCATAATACTTGTCTCGTACTGTATGCATAAAGGTAGAAGGCAGGAGAGATGTTGCCATGTACCACCATGTCACTCTGTCACTTCTGCTTGAGATTACAAGGGATCAGTTTACTGTAGGGAAAAAAGTTGGTCTCAGCATTTGGCCTTCTAAGTATTATAGGATCAGATAAGACATAGCTGTAAGAGAAGAACGATGCAATTTTTTTATGCATTGGTAGATCAGAAAAAAATGACCTATGAGACAGTTACCTGTCTTCATGCAGTCACTGTGTGCAGTAGAATCTGCATTGCTAAGGTCCTCTCAGGAGCTTAAGTTCTGCTGTAAATCAGCTAATCTTTAGTTTGTTTATAAATACAGCACTTTTTCTTTATGGTTTTCATTTACGTTGCCTGGTATCGACTTCTAAACGCTCCTGCAGGTAATTGTCCATACTTTCCCTTCCTAAGAGACTCCACAGCAGTCCATCTATTTGTAACCAGACCCTTTATTTAAATCCTAGCCCTTTTCCTGTGAGGCCCACTTCCTTTAAAGTATGTGGGTTAACAAGCCAGCTGCAGCTCTTCATGCTAGTCCACTTAACCCTTTCTCATCCTTCTTCAGAGTTGCTTCTAAGAGGATGGGAAAGTGATAAGGTATTTCTGATAGTCTTATTGTTATATAATCAGTGTGCTGAGTCCATTTTCTGTGTCATTTATTGAGATACCAGAGGTATGAAATGCAGGCTTCCTGCTGCAGCATTCTGTATTGTGCTTCTACAGAGTCATCATCCTACTTGGGATGATGGTAATCTTGAACAAGGATTGTGTTCAGAACATCTTTCCCATAGACATCCCCTGCTTTCTTTAGCTGATCTCAGGAACAGTGGTATGTCACAAAGCAAAAGGAATCGCCAGTAATCAGATCATAATTGCTGCAGGAATGCAGCTTATTGTTCTTTTTTTTTTCTTTTTTTAAACCAAAATCTCTAAATGCAAAATTAGTCAAACCTTTTAGTTAATTCTCCTTATGTTAAATAGAGTAATTATTCTTTTTCCTTTTACTTGCTTAACATTCTATCCGAATAGAATTATGGAAATGAAGATGAACTAAAACTGTTTTCTTTCTTCCTGTTCAAGGTGTTTCGGCTACGACTCCTAGTGGCAACGTAGCTAGTGATGCAATGTCCATTTTGGAAACAATAACTTCTCTTAACCAAGAAGCAAGTGCTGCCAGGGCTTCAACAGAGAACTCAAATCCCAAGAACAATGACAAAGTTGCAAAAAGACTCTCATCTCAGCAAAGTGTGGATGGTAGCACTGATAGAGAGAGAAATGTGGAGGACTTGCCAGACAGAGAGAAAGCAATTTGTGATCTTTCTGGAGAAGGGGCTGAAACATTTGCAAAGTGTGAAGATTTAAATGATCTTCCCTGCCAAAGTGAAGAACTAAAAAATTCAGCAAAGGATACTAATAATTTGACTTTTACAAGTAAAGATACAAGTAAAGAAATTCAACAAGAAAGTGAAGATCAAAAGAGTAAATTATTGGATAAATGTGACAAGAAACCAGACAGCAGTGAAAAAGGCGAAAGAAGAAAAGAAAAGAAGGAAAAACTTGACAAGAAGTCTGACCATTCAAAGAAAAGTGATGATGCTATGAAATCAAAAGAAGAAAAGCAAGCCAGAGAGTTGGAACCAGTGAAACAGCTAGCTCCAGAAAAAAATAGCAATAAACATAAAACAACTGAAAGCACTAAAGAAACTAAAGAAGGTATGGTGTGGGCAATGATCATCCGTGAAATATGGGTATGGTGGGGGGGGGGGGGGGGTTCAGTGTATTCAGGAGTTGAATCAGAAGTATATTTGGAATGTAGGTTCTCTGTTAGTTCCAGCAAATTTGTCTAGCTAGCCACAGCTAGGTCTTGGTTCATCTCGCTTAACTGAGGTACCCGCATTAGGAATTGGATGAGTTTTGATTCCTTAAGTGTGTGATTGGTCACCTGCCTTACTCTGGCAAATTCTATCAACGATTCCAGTCTGCATTTGAAGTTTCTGGTTTTACATCAAGGTGATTTTTGTTTTGAGTAAACCCGAGTTAGCCTAATAACATTTCACTACGGTGTTAATTTTTTTTTTTTTTTTTTTTGCTATGTCTTGTTCTTAAGATAATTTTGTTTTCAGTGGCAAAATCACTGTTTTGGTAAGAAAAGTTCTTGTATACAGTGTGCTGCATTACGGCCCTTTCTTTCTGTTTTTTCCTTTGCAAGAAAATACGTCGGTAGATTCAGATATGGATGTACTCAGTGACATCACTGTCAGCTCTGTCCATACCAGTGACCTTTCTTCCTTTGAAGAGGAAAGTGAAGAGGAGACTGTGATTTCTGACAGTACTGAAGAGGGGGAGATCACATCAGATGGTAAAATAATTAGATTGTTAAGTGGCAAGAAAGACCGTGCAATGCTTTCATTGAGTGCATCATATCATAAAATTGAGGTTTTGCAGTATGTTTTGTTGTACTTATTATGAGAAAGAATTTGAATGGGGAATGGATAGTATTTGTGCAATTAAGAAAGACGAGTAGTGGACATACTTTGAGTATTTTTTTAATAGCTTGATGTATTCTAAACACTGTAAATCTTATTTGTACTACAGTATTTCATAGGTGACAAAAACACTTAATGGATAGATATGTCACTTTCTTACGGTTTTTTTTTTTTCCACCTTCCTTCTGCCATGAATTTGGTATAATGTTGGAGTGATTTCTTTGTGACCCCAGGGTAGTGGTTGTAGCTGACTTTGCAGATCAGGTTGGTTTTAGAGCTTTAGGATTGCAAGAATTTCCAAACACTCCCTGGCCACAGTAGAAGGGATAGGAATGGATCTAGCTTTAAGAGTTTGGAAACACCAGGTCTTTTCACTGATCGGGTTGCCCTTTTGTGTTCTCCTTGTCTAGAGCAGACCTCAGACTCAGATTTCTGCACATACGTGGGTTTTGCAGTTAAGACTTTCCACTTCATAATACAGGGTGCCTTAGTACCTGAATGAGTTGTCTCTAGTATGCTGTGAACTTATGTTTTCTGTTCTAAGAATATTATTTGGAAGCACTGAATTACTTGCATATTCTCTGGCTTTGGTGTTACCTTTAAACATGACAGATTGCGTTCAGTTATGACTAAAGCACTGTCCTAATTTATCAATATATCTCTACATTTCACTAACCTTTCTTCAGATGAAGAGGACAAAAACAGTCAAAGAAAGACAAAGCTTCATGCTAATGAGCTGAATGATGGGAAAGCCAAGCCTGTTCGTCATGCTTATGTTCGTAAGCCTTTCTTGTACTCCAAATACTTCAGTGATTCCGATGATGAACGAACTGTAGAACAACGCCGTCAGTCCATTGTAAGTATGGATTTTGTTACTGCTTGCATTCTGGCTCCTTAAACTTTTCAGCACAGAAATTTCACTTCTTTTTTGGTGGCGGTTTGTGAATGGGAGTCTTCTGTTTCTTCTCGCTTCATTTCCTCCCCCCGCCCCTCATCCCTTATGTTACAACTGCCCCTCCTTCAGACTTCCACCAGTATTGCATGATCTGCTTTTCAGTGAAGTACTCTGCTGGTTGTAGTTTGAAGGCTTCTGGTGGTGAAAGCAATGACACACTTTTCCATCTTTTTCCCCCACTCTAAAATGAACAGTCTTTTGGTGTTGACAGAGGATTTACTAATTACATGTAGTGTCTTCACAGAATCACAGCAATAGGTGGATTCTTTCTCAGCTGAATGATTTGATAGGGAGAGTAAGAACTGCTATACATATGAAAAACCTGGTCTTGAGTAGATTTAACGTATATAATGACAATTTGGGTGGAAAGAGTAGCCCATATCTACCTGCAGCCTGCTTTCAGTGGGGTTTTGCGTGTTTCAGGCTTGTGTTGACTACTGCAGGCTACTTCATTACATCATCTCTTTACAAATGTATATCTTGCTGTCCATGAAATCAGTAGTTTGTAGCATGTCTGCAGCCATTCAGAATGCAAAGAGAGGTTTAAGCATTTTTACTATCTTCTGTGGAAGAAGGACCAGCACACAGAAGAGGGAGCAGCAGTTCTTTTTAGATCTTTTTCCTTTGGCTAAATATATATATTTTTTTTTAATAGTTACATATATCTTATATATATACACTATGTATATAT